CAATAAGAAGGCTCCGGGTACTGTTGTCCTTATTATTTTGTGTTGCATATTTCATGTGTTGCAGTTTTAGCCTACTGCCAGGCTTTCCAGCGGTCCGTCGTGTTCCGTTCAAATCCGTTCCATCAGTTCCAGTCCATTCCAGTCCGTTCCAGGTCTTGCAAAATGCCGGGAGCCGACCGTTCTCCCGACATAACCCCATTGTCGCCACCACTTATTCGTCCGAGTACGGCTTATATCGTGGCTGCCCTGCATATCTACAGGGCTTATGAGCGAAGGGCGGGTTGGTTCCCTGTGCCGGCCTCAACCACTTAAGGTAAAGACCGGCCGGGGGTTGCCTCGTCGGCTATTGGGCCCCCCTACCCACGGTTTGATATCGGTGTTTGCCCTCACCTAGACGATTGTCTTACCGGACTAACGGGCTCGTCTACCCGGGGTGACTCTTAGTCTCACCTCTCGCCCTCGGCCTACTAGCGTTGGGTAACCCGTTGCCAGTAGCCCTTGGGTTCCTCGAGATGATAAAGCCCTTCCACCGACGTCAAGGTGGTCACCCGAGGAAGGGGTAGGTTTGACACGTGATGAATTGGCGTATTAAATTGAATTAGACAATTTTATGTATTTACGTTTGAATATTTTCATACTTTGTACTCATCAGATACTATGTAAATAATAATAATAATTATATAAACAAACATTAAAAAATATTAATCGAGAACAGCCGAGGTTTTCAAAAATCTGTCGTCTCAGTAAGCATACTTCTCACGCGTCAAAAGGAGATGAAATGTCTTAAGTTTGATCACAAGGAGAAATTTCTATTTGTTATACTACTTTTCTGTAAAAAATATATTTACAACGACCAACGGAGAAAGAAATAACACCTAATTGTTATTGTTGGTCAAAAAGTTCAGATACAAATAGCTGAACGCCAAAACATTTTTAAATATTTCTAATATTACTGTTATAGCTATAAATTATTATTAAATAATATATTAGATAATTTTATGTATTATGTTTGAATATTTTCCTACTTATTATTCACTAGATGCTATATAAATAATAACTTCCCTAAGTTGCACTAAACGAATAATAATCCGTTCTTACCCGTTGCTCGACGAATGCTTTTTAGACTTCTGGAAAAAGTTCTGCCGTCTCAATCGTTGCGATCACTGTTCCAGTTGGATAATCACAGCCAAATAAAAATATTTTAAGAAACCTCTGAAGAAAACACTGGACTTTCTTACGACAAAACTTGTTTCAGTTAAATTAAAAACAAAAGTAATGTTTATTGTTTATTTATCGACAGGGCGATTTTGTTTTTTCCGTAGCTAATAGTGATTTATTAATTGTTTATGCTGAACAAATATTGTTGTGACTATAGTTAATTAATAGGTAATTACTAATAGATAATAAATGTTACTTAGAAGGTTTATAATGTTAAACATTATTTCATAGATAAATTATTCGTTTATTTCTCCAGTATACAAATTAAATAGAGATAAAACATGTTTTTAAAAAATTATAATTCATATTAATTTACCAGAAATACGAGTATGTGGTATCACATTTCCAAAATTTTCTACTGCCGGATAAATTTAGTATAAAAGATTTGGACTGTGTTACAAGATTTTATGTTAAATTTAAAATTGTCAAAAAATGGTTATTAATTTTTAGACTTTTTATAACATAACGTAATAAACAGAAAAAATTATTTTTTATTTTTGTAAGATTACTGTTCTAACCATATAAATTATTATAAAATAATATATGAAAGTTGTATGTATTTCAGTTTGAATATTTGCCTACTTAATGCTAAATAATAAATACTATTTAAACAATAATAATATAAGCATACCTGTGTATTGAAATTGGTTGACAAATGCTTTGCCATAATCATGTATAACGAGCAAACGTGGTAATGTTATAAAATAGGAAATTAGAAGGAAGTTATCCCATTAAATTATCGACAAACTTTATTCTTGGGTGAATTATCTTTACAACAACTACACTGCGGCGTATAGGTGCATTTTGCTTACAATAATGTGCTTAAAATTTTTAGAATTAAGACAGGTTAAGATTAGGGCTGATCGTTCTTGATTTAATGTATTTTTTTTTAAAATTTAAACATTACAATGTCTTAAATGTGTATCGACTTAATAACTTTTGTATTGATTTCCCACCAAACCTCAAAAAAAGTTTGAATATAATATGTATATTACCGCAACATAATAAATAGTTTAACAGTAAAAAGTGTTTTTAATTTTTGTGAGATTACTGCTAAACCTATGAATTAATAATAAAAGAATATAAGAAAGTTGTATGTTGTTTAAATATTTCCCTAGTTTATAATAATTAATAAATACTATTTGAATAACATTAATATAAACGTACCTGTATTGGAATTGGTCGACAAATGCTTTCCTAACAGTCGCCGCGCCGTTTTCAAAAAGTCTACCGTCTCGGTAACACAATCTGCAATCCTTTCTAGTTTTAATCACTGTTATCCATTTAAAAAATCACAAAAAATAAACAACCATTGTTTAAAACGATGTAAAAGTAAGTTTATTTATTGTCCAGGCGATTCTGATTTGTTTGTTACCAAGCAAGTTATTTAATAGGGTACCTAACTATAATACAATATAATATTGTTAATAAAAAAAATACACAATAAAATAAAATATATCGTTTTTATAAATTAAAAATCAAACGAATTGGTATTATATTATGTTACTTTAGAATATTTGATATTAAAAGATTCATTATTAAATTTCAAATTGTGAAAAAATGGCTGTTAAGGAAATTGAAAGTGGGTGGTTTTTAAGGAGTTTTATATGGGCAATATTTATGAAAAAAGTAGTTTTAATAAATTTCGGTCATATCATTTTTGTTTACGTTAATATTTATATAAGCTACAGAGTATTATATTTTTTAAAGTGTACAATTTTTTCTATGAGTTAAATCTATATTGGTGGTACAATAATGAAGAAAACAATTAAGACCCAAAGCCTGATCAAACTACGTCTACTAAGAATATGATTGGATTTTAATTTTGTAAACATATATAAGCTCGGCGGCCTATTTCCAGGTTATTGTGGAAGTCGATTTTTGTATAACTGTCTTATTTACTTAAAACTGAATACTAGCTATTCGAGAAATTAAAATTAATAGCAGAAATTAATATTTTAATTGAAATATCAAAAATCGATTCCCACAAATAACCTTGAAGATGGGCCTCAAATATTTTTTTGGTCCATCCTAAGTTGGGTTAATTTTGTCAGGCTTTCAAGTCTGAAACGTCCTAAAAAACCGACCAAATTCCATTCCCTTTAGTTTTTCAATCTTTCTGTAGAATCCTCAGGAACTATGCATATATTGACCACGTTTTTCTCCAGACAAATTTTTCTAATATTTTCCAGTCAAATTCTTTGCGAAAACCATTAGTTTAAACTCACGAATAATTAAAATAATTGATTTAAAAATAAACATGCCTTATTGTTGCCAAGTAATAATAAAAGAATACGCTGTATCGTTGCTAGATAATGAATGGTAAATAAATAAATGATTGCAGACTATAGTTAGAAAACTTTTTATCTAACAACAATTACCTAGCTACGCGACCAAAGATAATCATGGTGACGTTATATACAATAATGTCTGGTTTGATTTAATTCCGTTTAAAATCATACTTGATCGTACAAAAACTTAGACATTTAGACATATTAGCAATGCCTGAAGGGGTGGGAGCATAGGCGCAACTAGACCTACATTTTAAGGGGTGCTAAAATGATGTATAGTCAGGTCTATACATAATTCTTATCTTCAAACCATTAGATATAAAATAAAATATTTTAAAACAAAAATATAATAAAATAAAAAATTTTAACAGAGTATGTACATAATTAAAATGTTATGCGTACAATTCAGAAATTTGAATTTTGGGGGGTGTTAATTTTGAGTTGGGGGTGCTAAAGTCCCGCTAGCTGACTAGCACCTTCCTAGTTGGGCTTATGGGTGGGAGTATTCTATAGGTATCACCACAAGGAAATTGACACTAATTGTTATTTCTCATTGTAAAATTTGTATGCAAAACATATAATTTCAATCTTTGTTTTTTGTTCGTGAAAAGGTATAATAAGGGGTTTCTCTACTTTGTACTGAACGAATAATAACAATTTAAACGTAAGTACTTACAATTTGTAGTTACAAGATGCCTATCCTGGTCTTCCCCAGAAAATGGAAATTGGCCAGGTTGGTTGCTTTGTCGCCTAAATGATGTGGGCAAATTTTTCGAGCTACTGTTGGCTCATAATCCTTTCGATCACTGTTATCCATTTGAAAAGTCACAGAAAACTATAAACAGTATAGTTCAAAATACATTTCTGAAGAAATAACTGAATTTGATTGAGAAAAAAATTGTTCGACTTCACGTGAAATAACGGTTATTGTTTATTTCCGTTGCTTAACAGTTAACAAATTTTAAGTCGCGTATGACGACCAAATATTGTTATTATAATCATTCGTAAATTATAACCAGTTTTAGCCAATACCAAGAAAAAAACTGTTTTCCCGATTTTTTCCATGTCCACTAAGTTATGGTAACATATGAGTCCTACCTCCTGACAATTTTCTTTGCTAAAATGTCTTAAAATTACTGCAAAAACAAACAAAAAATTTCCCCCTCCTCCTGTGCCTCTGGTACACATAGTGTAATTTTTTAAAATTAAATTACTGAGAAATAGGTACAAAAGTTTATAAAAATAATATTAGACTTGAGTTGATGAAATAGGTATAGTTAGCCAAAGGTTATATTTTATCATCGCCCATTAATTTGTTTAGCTGTAATGTACATTTTTTTAATCAAACTATCAAAGACCGTGGTCAAAATTATGAAGTTTCAAATTTGTGCGCACTGTAAAAGAATAATAAACCAAAGAGGCTGTATGTAAGAAAATGAATTGTTTATAATGATAAGATAATGCGGTTTTTTGATAAGCTGTTTAGGGCCATGTGATAAACACAATTTGAAAACATTTAACATAGGTAAAAAGACTTTTTATGTCGAATATTAATTATTAACGATTAATATAAATATTTTATATTTTACCGCCATTATAGTAGGTACATTGTTAAATCTTGTTCGTGAATTGGCCAGTTGATTCAGTGACGAGAAATATGTTGGACAGTGTTGTTTTGCCCGGTAACGACGTTTCGCAGACAATATTCGAAGGAGAATCTAAGAAACAAGATAAAATTATCGGACCCGGACTCGTGACAAACAACGGTAAAATTATCGTGAGTAATGGAGGAATACTAAGAGGCAAACATAATAAGCTGTACTGGGTTGAACATCGCAAAAAAAAATATATGCCGTCCAAAGACGATATTGTCGTAGGAGTTGTGGTGGCCAAAACTTCTGAGCTGTACAAGGTGGACATTGGATCTCACGAATTCGCCACGCTTCCATACTTGGCATTTACTAATGCTACCAAAAAAAATAGGCCTGACGTCAAAGTGGGCAATGTTTTAGCCGCTCGCGTTAAAGCTACCACACCTTATATGGAAGCGGAAATCAGTTGTGTGGAATCCGCTAACAGTGTTGTACTAGGCCTATTAGAAGACGGCTTCTTAATAAGTGTCAGTTTGAATTATGCGTTACAATTAAAAAATCCCAACTCCAAGTTGCTGTCAGAGCTCGGGCATTTTATACCTTATGAAATTGTTATTGGCATCAACGGTAAAGTATGGATTAAAACTTCGTCTGTACAAAGGACTATCGCCATTGGAAGCGCCATAATAAATGCGGAACACTTGAAAGAAGATGATATTCCTCAACTGATTAAAACTTTAAAAATGTAAATTAAATTAATAACATTATGTAAAAACGTATAATATTTTTGTATCTTATTGATTTGGTGGTTATATTTGTAATTTGAAATGTTATAAGGTATATTTATTTACCATGACAATTTATCAAAGCATTCTTGTAAATATCATAAACTTTTTTGAACGTTAAAAAGTATATAAACAAATATGATGTAACGATTTATTGTTTTACATAAACACCACACCATTTGAAATAATACCATGTTAAATTACTTCTACTCTGTTTTACGCTGGTGCCAAAGTACTGTTGTTATTAATTACTATGAAAAAGTTCCATAATAATTGGTACAATTTTAATTGTTTTTCAGTAATAACATTAAAAACTATTCTAAAAAAAGCAAAGTCTTGATTAGTTTGGGAATTTAATTTTAACCCATTAATAGGTAGAATCTGTCTCTACTTAAATACACTAGCAAAATGCATTGTTTAAATAATATACAAAATTGTAAACCGCGCTTAACTAATTTAAACTGCACAAAACGTGGACATCTCTATTATTTTTTTACTCCAAGAATGTTGAAATATTATTTTCATAGCGGAGTCATATTTTTTATTTGACAAAAATTATTTATAAAATAAAATAAATACATATTTATGATGTTTTTTCAGTCACAATGAACAACAGAATATCTCAAGTTAGGTTTTTTTTTTCTTACAGCATTACCTTTTCTAAAAAGTTCTCGTGAAATGCAATCCTAGTTCATTGGAAATACGTTTACAAATTAAATTTTCCTAAATACTGTATCTCAATTGGAAATACTATTGTTATATTTGAAAAGAAACATAATTGAATTGCAATTGATTTCCCATCAGACCTTAAAAAAAGTTTGAATATAATATGTACATTACCGCAACATAGTAAATAGTTTTAACAGTAAAAAGTGTTTTTAATTTTTGTAAGCCTATGAATAAATATTAAAAGAATATAAGAAAGTCGTATGTTGTTTAAATATTTTCCTAGTTTATACCTACTAAATAATAAATACTATATGAATAACATTAATATAAACGTACCTGTATTGGAATTGGTCGACAAATGCTTTCCTAACAGTCGCCGCGCCGTTTTCAAAAAGTCTACCTTCTCGGTAACACAATCTGCAATCCTTCCTAGTTTCGATCACTTCAAATAATTGAATTTCATCAGAAAGAAAATTGTTCGAGTTATTGTAAATATAAAATATGTAGGTAGGTAATGATTGTTGTTTATTTATCGACTTGGCGATTTTGCTTTTGTCCGTCTCTAAGTGCATTATATTAGTCGAATATAACGACCAATATATTAATATATTAACTGTAGCGATGGGAATCCGAAAATCCGTATTTAAAAACGCTATTTAAGCCACTTAAAAATCATTCAAGTATTGAACATTATTACAATATATAGCTGTGTACTTAAGTGAAATATAATCGATAAAATTGTAAAAATACAACGCAACACTAAAAAGATAAATTGCTTTTGGATTTCGGATTTGTTGAAATGGAATCCGGAATCAATTTCTAGTGAAAGTTATGCGTTTTATTTTTAATTTTCACCAGAACATTTTACTTAGGTACATAGCATTTTACTGTATTATTATTTAATAATTTTAAGATTTTTAAAGTGGCTGAAATAGCGTTTTTTTTTAAATCCGGATTTTCGGTTTTTCATCGCCACTTCAACCCTAGTTCATTGGAAATGCGTTTACAAATTAAATTTTCCTAAATAATGTATCCCAATTGGAACTACTATTGTTATATTTGAATTACCTCGAAAAGAAACATAATTGAATTGCAATTGATATACTGAGAGATCACAAACATTCCGCTAGCTTTGTCGTTCCAAGAAGTGAGAATGAAAATTATGGCGGACAACCTTCCACGGAAGAGTCAAAATACATTGCTATTTGATTTAATATATTATGTATTAAAACATCAAACACAAATGCCACAACATCCATGTACCACAAAATATCAGTAGATATTTAAACTCATGTTGATATTGCATTCCAAGCTTAATACAATGCATTCTAACAATTATGTACTGGAATCATAAAAAGGACTAGTACCTTATTAAATAAATACTTTTAATGAAAATACTTTATATTGTTTATGATAACTTTTATTTTTTTTTGCTGCATTGAATAGTAAAAATTAATTTCTATGGTCAAAGCCGTAAAGGTGGTTAAACTAGGCCTTATAATATTTATGTCGTACAGTACAAATAATATATTAATTTAAAAATGTATATTAATTTATGATAATTACTTATAATTGGTTAAAATGACTTAAGGAGGTACTTAGTTTAGTTATATGCACTGCAACAAGAATCTTCTGTTCACAACTACGTAATCCTAAATAGATAATTTAAAATTTCTATCTTATGGGGAAATATATAGAAATAAATATTAAACATAAAGTAATACATAACTATTTTCCTTTTTTATTTTTTAATACTGTGTACATGTGACTACCAACAATACACTTGACTAACTGTTATAAATAATATTATATAAAGTGTATACAGAGTAAGATGTTAAAAAGAAATATCTTTGTTCCTAAATTGTATGACACAATTTAATACAATAACAATTACATAAAATGGCTGGTATACAGGAGGTGTTGATCTGGGATACATTACATTCAACGAGGTGGTTGTAATAAAATAATATAAAATTTTCAATATAAATAATAATAGTTATAGTATTTCCTAATTTATAATCGGTTAATAAATAGAGATAACTTAGCTATCTAGCCAATACATTTAGCCTTATCGATTGACAATCAAATACTTATCTCAATACTGACGTCTAAAGTTACGACACTAAAAGCAATGAACTTAAATATTACAAAATTATTGGCACTAAAATAAACAGATTTGATTGATACTGATAATTTTTAATTTAAAGTAAAACTACATGGTATTAATATAATAAGCTAATGAACAGTCTTAATTATGACTATACTGATTCAAATGACCAGATTGCGAGCTAGATAACAATATAAAACCCTAGCTAAAAGTAGAATACTAAATTTAAAAACATTTTGCCAACCTAAACAAATAACTAAATCACCATGCAAATGAATAAATAACAATTATGAGTTTTGGTACCGCAACCAAGAATGTCACGAAAATAATAATGAATGACTTGAATAGGAACAGGGAGTTCTATCTATTGTTGCTGTTTGCAGTAACAATATTTACTAAGTTGAGGTTGAGTTTGAGAAATGCACCAAGGTTGATTTCCATACATGTTGATTCGACTTATGTCTTTTTCCTGAATAGAAAATAAATAAAAAAATTCTGTTTATTCTATAGTTTCAATATAATTATAAATGTAATAAAAATTACACTTACATAAAGAATAATCTTGTTAGTTTCACTGTTGTAATGACACGAAAATTCAAATACGGCGTGTCCGGGGCGCGTTATTATTTTAAGCTGAAGATAAAATTTAGTCACTTTGGTGTTGGCTGACATGTCCGGAACAAAACCGTCCTTATCGGCGGCTTGATGAAATTTCATTACACCTTCGTTGGGTGCCATTTTAGTTGCCCATTCAATTTTTTCTAGTTCAATGGAAGAACAGAGACTTGTAAACTTCGCATTATACCTGTTGATGATTAATACATTCAATTTTAAGAACAATTCAAATATATTTGAAACAAGTGATATAAAATCTGTACTCATTGAGAAATTGAATAAAATGTTCTGCTGCATGAGTGGCTATTTCATTATTTACGTCAATTGGTTGCCATTTAAGACAAGCACACCAATGAGGCTCGATGTACGCATCTTTGCAAGTTCTATCTAATGGTATCTGCAAGTATTTATAGTAAATAAAACAAAATTATTTGATTACCAGTGATTAAATACTTTGTTGGGCTTTTACTGGATTGTATAAACATTTTTTTTTAATTTTAGAAATTTTATCAAATTTAATGAACATGGACCACTGTTAACGTGCAATGAACCACTTTGATTCATTAAACCTTAAATCAATAAGTATTCAAATATGAACATTCCAACTAGTTGATTATTTAAATTTAAATCACAATACTAGTTTAATAACAAGAAACCCAGAACATTTGGGCAGCCCCACAAGTAAAAGTGATTTATTCTTTACGAAACTGTTACATACTTCATCAAACAGCGAAATAGAGCGCTTATTTAGATCATTAGTTTTCAATCCATCTTTGTGTAAAACGCTCAATAATGTAGAATATATATCAAATGGTGACGTCAACCGCTTAGTATTATTTCGCATGTTTGCCGCCATTCTTGGGTACTTGCGAGCAAACCATTTTGGCAGTACAAATGAAAAGAACGGCATACGTTCTTCAAGTTTACCTTGCTGCGTATCACGCACAGATGCAAATCTGTAAGTACATAACAAAATTTCAAACTATAAAAAATATAATTAATTTAACAATTTAATAAATGTTACCTTTGTCCATGATCACTCATGAACACCAACATAGTGTTATTCAAATAGCCAGACTTTTGAAACCACTGCAACCATTCAATTAAATCTTGTTCAGCTACTCCAACTTTGTTAGCATAGTCATGAGATAGTTCACCGTGAAAGGCGAACATGAATTTTGGTTTGTCTTCATACACTCGAAACATGTCTTTTACATAATTAAGCATAATCTAGAGCAAAATATTAAATTAACAAAATTAAAATTAAACACAAGTAAGCATAATATTGTTGAAAATAACACCTGATGTCTGGGCCTTGAACCATAACAAAACGGCTTTTGTGTTTTAAAAGTAGGTGTTGCATCTACGTAATACGTTCGCATGTAGTGATCGGTGGGTTGTTCATTAAATCCTTTGAGTCTATAGGTAAATACTCCAACATCAGAGACGTCTTCAGCATAACCTAATATTTCCAATACATTTAATTAAAATAAGAAATTTATAGTGTTATTAATATCAGTGATGTAGTCATTAGGGTACGCACTGTGAGTACCTACTTCCTACTTTTCTATTTGAGGGTACACAATTTTCAAAATCATGCATAGCAAGTTATGTAGCAAGTAGTTACAGTGTATATACTAAAATATACCATTTGACTACATCACTGATTAGTATTAGGAAGTACAACCTGTGACATATCCATATTTTTTGAACAGCTTCCATATAAAAGGATACACATCTACGTAAGATGCTTTATTCCCCATACGCTTTCTTGTATCTGGCAATTCTAATTCAGTTCTTCCTGTAAAAATAATATGATAAATCAAAAACATTGTAAAAAAAACATGTTTATTGTAAGGTTACAACCTGTAAGTATAGGTATCAATGCTTGCGGAGTTCCATCGCCAACAATATTATAACTTTCCAACACATGAGCGCCCATAGACTTCAGTTTAGCGTACAACTTTGGAAGTTTTCTTTGGACCATCATATGAGACATTGAATCAAGACCAATCATTAAAACGTTTAAATTTAGGCCATCTTTGGGTACACGATCCCATCCAGCTCGATTCATGACATCTTCGTCAAAACGAATTCCTGCCATTCGGCTCTCCCAACTGTAAAGTATTAACAATATTTTAAAATCATTATTTTAGCATCAAACATGATAATTATGTAATTAAACTTTAGGAGTCTGAAACAAAAAAAAAAAATTTATTCATTCCAAAATGAATGACAAGAGGAATAACAAAGGGTACCAAAAAGGTATTTGTTCCAGAACGAATTCTGGATTACTGACCAATCTATCTAAATAAAATTATATTTGATACCTCGTTTGGCCATTTTCTGATTCACAATATACTCTAAAAAAGTCGGTTGTCTCCAAATTGTACTCTGTATGGGTTGTTGTTATAACACCCGTTGACGTGGAGAATTCATTAGATCTCAAAACATCTACAAAAATATGTTTTATTCAAGTATGAAGAAATATACAAAAAATAAATAAAATCATACCAAAAAACTTGCACTGAATGTCTCCATATTTTTCACGCGCTTTTTCGGTGATACGTGCAACACTGCCTTTTACAACAACCCAATCTTCTTCTGAATCACATACCAAGGGTGGCTCAAGCTTCACAAAACTCATCATTATCGGATCAAATGGATCCAAAATAGGTCGTTGGCATGCTACGTAGTTATCATCTTTTGTACTTCAAAAAGCATCAATGACAAAAAATATTACCACAAAATTCCCATAAAAAAAAAAAAATAAGTACTAGTTTCAATTAGATTAAAAGATTAATAAATAAATCATTTGAATTTTTATTCATTAGACAACTGTATTGTAGTACACCAGTCAGCACTCAAACCAAGCCAAGTAGAAATATTTTGTTTCTATAAATTGAATATTAAGAAAATAAATAGAACCACCCCATATTCAGAATTCTAAATATGTTTAGTTAAATTTAGATTAGAAACCGCTTTTCTGAACAAAAAATATTTGTTTTTTAAGTTTTAAATAAATAAATAATTAATAATAAAATTTTCTTTTTCTATTAAAGTAGTCATTAGACTTAAAATGTGAAATAAGAACCCTAAAATGAAATAATGTACAAATGCTTAATACAATTTTTATTAAGCAGTGTAATCTACAAACCTTTTTTTTTTTTTTTTAGTAAATTGTTTTTTATAATTTTATATAGAAAATATTCAATCACACACTTATGTAGTGTTATCTGCAGATAGATAATTAATTAACTGTTTAGTGGTTAAAATAAACTACTATAAAATATCTACATCTTACATAATATATTTATTCTCGAATATGACTAAAAAACAAAATAAGGTTATTTGCACAAGCTTTAAACAAATTTAACAACTATTAGAATAGAATAAAATAGACATTTTTGTTTAATGTTAAGTAATTATTTCATCTTTCGTGCAATTTTATAAAAATGCATTTCACTAATCAAAAAGCTTTGATTTATTAATCATGCCATAAAGCCATACACCAAGACCAAAAAAATTGGTCTCTTTTAAATAGTTACAAACCACATATAATGACTACCACATTCTAAATAAAATGCAGTATACAATGAGCCGTTGTATCATAAGTAGAATATAGTTTTCTTCTCTTTGGCATAGCCAATTTGATGTCCATGCTAATATAAAAAATAAAAATAATAGTAAATCGGGACTAATGCAACTGTGTATAAAATGAATAATACATAACATACAGCACTAACTGAAGAAATACATATAACAAAGCTTACAAATAAAATATGATTTTTAAGAAGTTAGCTAATGAAAATTGTATGCCTAAATAAAAAAGCTTAAGAAAGACAAAATACACATTTTTAAAGTAAAACTATACAATAAGTTCACAATACAAAAATCTTAATGGTTTAGATAATATACTGTAAAATAATGTAATTATTACTTTTTAATGCCCACTTCTGGTGCTGAATTTATAATTTCTTGTTCAATCTGTTTTCTAGAAATAAAAGCAAATAAGTTTGGTAATATTAGTATTATGGCCAAGGCATGTAGTTACATCAACAGTGTCCCAATACTAAATTGAATACTTACAGCATAACTGTCCGGTCCGACATGTCATAGTATGGATTTTTACGAGTCATTTGAAAAATTGAATAACCCGTGATACCCAAAATGATAAACACACAAAAACGACGAACTATAAACGATGGGGCTCGTACTTTAACCATTTTGAACTGAATGATACTTTTCAATTTATCTGAAATAAGACTGTACACAAAAATTATGTAAAATACATTGTACTCGTCATAAAACTATTTTGTGTATGAAAACATTTTATACTTACACTATTTACACACCTTGAGGTTACTCCCATATGATTATCATGTCTGGTTTGCCAACATTTTAAAACACTGGCAAACCAGTCAAGATAATCAAATGGGAGTAACCGCAAGGTGTTTAAATAGTGTAAACATAATACCCCATTCAAGCTTAAATAATTTTTTTAAGATTTTATATCGGATAATTTATAGTATATTTTGAATAATTATTAGAGAACTTTAAGTTTTCTAAATAAAAAAATATAAACTAGTAAATAAATGCCAAGTACACCATGAATTACTAACAATTTTAGTTAATATTAAAAGATAAAAAAAAAAGTATCTGAAAAATTATAATTCTTGTATTAATACAAGTATTTATGATCGAAAACTTACATATTTTAAACAACCCTTATATACAACAGCAAGTTGACTTACAATTAGAGGCGCCGAATACTTCCGATGGTTCAAATAAACCACTAAAATATTGGGTGTGTGAATTTACACTGACTGGTATTGTGATAATAGGAATGTATAAAGTATATTATAGTAATAGTTGTTATATTGGTAATTATTTAAAAGTTGAAATTTAGAATTGTCCGTGTGTATTGCCGTGCATTAATAATGCGATCTACGTAGATTCTCCACAGATCATTAACAAACTATAAAATGATTTAACCATTCGGCATACCTTAAATTAGAACGAACCCGGTTGTCATTAGTGCAGATAAGTTTTGTTTATGTTGAACCGGCGCACCTTGTTAAAAACGACCATATTATTCGGTCTGCGAAACCGGTAGGTACATCAGTTCCATTTGTCTCATAATTTTATATTTCTTAAGTGTATTGATTAAATTACTCATTGATATTCATTAGAATTTAGATAAGTAGAATGTAAGAATAACTTGTAATCTGACACTGATCACGCAAATTCGACCACCGGTTTTATAATTTTACCTATATTATAATCGAAAAATCTTATCATTAATTAGTCAGGTCAAGTTGCATGATGATAACATTAACAACAATATTATCATCTGTGGTAAATTATGACGACTGTAATCAACACTAACAGATAAGATAACAGTTATTGAAAATTATAAAAAAATGTTTAGCTTGAGGAGGCCGCAGCCGAGAGCCTAATTTAAATCAAGTACTTTTTTTAACACCGTTTTTTGTTAATTGAATGTACTGAATAGTGCCTATGTGAAACGTCATCACTAATCTTATTAAATGTTTAAACAATAGTAAATACTAATTTATTTTTAAAAAATTCAGTCTTATGCTATTTAATAACGTTTTTAAAATGTTTTTTTTTTAAATCATTGTTTTTTTACACTGTTATATTTTATAGACATGGCGAAAGTAATTTTAGTAACTGGGGGATCTGGTCTGGTCGGAAGTGCTATCAGAGAGATTGTCGAGAACCAGAGTAATGCGCTACCTAATGAAAAATGGATATTTACCAACTCCAAAGAAGCAGATCTAAGGTAAAATCCTAGTTGATACCACTTACGTTTATTAATTAGTAAAAATTGTTTTACAGTAATGTCCAGGCAACTTGGGATTTATTTGAAAAATACAAGCCCACCCATGTTATTCATTTGGCAGCTATGGTTGGCGGTTTGTTTCACAATATGAACAACAATTTGGACTTTTTGGTATGTATTTTATTGTATAAATCTAGTTTAGCGCCCAAGCCATATAATCAATTTTTTCCCTCCATTAAAATTGTGTGTTTATTTATGTTTGTGAAAATGGCGTTTTTAGATTTTTTTTGGTCACGCTTAGTTTTTGAAATATAGCCTATGAGAATTATTGTTATGTGCAGACTATTGGCCAAGGGGTATCTGTGCAACACGGCATCATTGTACATTATAACAACTACTGCCTACTGCCGATTTCCCTTAAAAAAAAAATCGAGTCTAAACTTTATTTGTTCCTTTATTTTTTATTTTATTTCTAAATATGTTTTTTTAAACAAAAATTTACATTAAGATAACATTTTATTCACAGTTTAAATCCAAAATGTATAAAAAAAACATATCTTTTTTGTTAATGATTTTAATCAGAAGTTTCCAAATACATATTTTTATATTATATATTTTATATTTAGTGTTTATTAGAAATGAAATCTTTAAAAACCACAACTAAAAAAAAATTGATGCTTTTCCATTACTATTTTTTCTAATAAAAAATTAATACAATACTATAAAGCATGTAATTTTTAGTGTACGCTTGATCCTTGATGTACATATTTTGGTTAATTCAATTTTTCAGAAATATCTATAAAAATATAATTAAAAGTACATTTAAGTATACATTTGTAATAAAATTAACATTTATATTAGTTACCAGTTAACTACTTAGTTTTTTATATGTTTAATGAAATGTCTTATTTTTCAGCGCAAAAATATGCACATAAACGACAATGTACTAGAAACCAGTTTTCAGCACAATGTGACAAAAGTAGTGTCATGTCTTTCCACGTGTATATTTCCTGACAAAACCACATATCCTATTGATGAGACAATGGTATATAAAATTAATTTTAAATTATAAATTATAAATGAGTATGGTTATTAATATAATATGATGAGTATTGAATATCTAATATTACAAGTAATTTTTAAGTGCAAACAATGAAACAACAAGTTCTTTAGCACAAACTAACCTTGTCTTAACATTGACCTTAGGATTGAGTTATTTTGATTAATTTTATTAGTATTCATTGGACACTAACTCCTCTTGTTACGTGTAAACCAATGTGTTTTAAAACTATAATGTAATTACATTTAATATTTCTTTTTAGATCCACAATGGCCCGCCCCATCCGTCAAACTTTGGCTACAGTCATGCAAAACGTTTGTTAGATATTGCCAATAAAGCTTACCACCAGAAATATGGTGTAAAATATACTTCGGTTGTTCCGTGCAATGTTTTCGGGCCAAATGATAATTTTGATCTACATAATGCTCATGTCGTACCTGCTCTTATTCATCGTTTACACATAGCCATAGAGAAAGGTTTGTCAAAAAACCACATCTTTTGTAGAAAATATAAAATGTTTTCTATTGTTATTGTTTATTTTAATATTTTTACAGGCGATAATACATTTGTGATATTAGGCTCTGGAAAACCCTTACGTCAATTCATCTATTCACTTGATCTCGCTAAACTAATTATTTGGGCTTTGAGAAACTATGATGATGTGGAACCAATAATTCTATCAGGTGTGTGATGACAAAAGAAAACAGCTTTGTGTACTTTATGTTATAATTGTTTTTATTTTCAGTGGATGAAAAGGACGAAGTAACTATTGGCCAACTAGCTGAAACGATTGCAAAATCATTTAATTTCCAAGGTACTTTAGAATATGATACGAGTGCCGCCGATGGGCAAATTAAAAAAACCGCTAGCAACAGAAAGCTAAGGAAACTATTACCAGATTTTGAGTTCACAAATCTAGAAACTGCAATTGCTCATACAGTTGAATGGTTTCAAAAATACTACAAAGAAGCAAGACTTAGTAGTTCATAAAAAATAAATGTTTTTTAACATAAAATTATGTTTACCATAATAAAATACCATCTGTAAAAATAATTATTACCTATTTTGGTATATTATTATTGATAGATCTATATAGTATTATATTTTTGTATAATTACTAATTAATTGTATGAAATAATTTAATACAACAGTAATTACATTTAATTTAAATTGTATTGTTATTGATTAATTTATTAAGGGACTAGATATATAATACAACTTTAAAAGACTATACTGATGTTAAATGAATATAATTTGTATTTTTATTTTATAAAAAAAAAATAGCTATACTGAACAATATTTAAACATTTAAATTTACCATCTGATTATTTAAAGTACCGTTTGATTATTGTCAGATGATTATAATTTAACAATGTTTTGTTATAAAAACTATTTTAAATATTAAATAGATAATCATAAGAGTGTTAAAAAGCAAATATTTGTTCTAAAATAGAAATTAAATTTTTATGAAATTATTTATGAGATTTTTGTAACTGAAATGATTACTAATTACAATATCTTAAAAGGTTTTTACTTAAAAGTTTATTTACCAATGTTATTTTATGTTTGTACTTATTAGTTGTAAAGGGTCATACAATTTTCAACTTTTCACATGCAATTTTATGTGAATCCTTTTTTTTTAACTGTATTATGTCATAAAATGTTTTTTATGAAAATATGAACTTTGTGAAACGTTCAACCTGTTTTTTTTTTTAATTATATGGTTATTTTATTTTACTATTTTATCATTTTACTCAACTTGTGGTTTTGCCTTATAATATTATGTATTTTTATTTTTATTTTATAACTGTATTGTGTTCCATAAAAAATATATTTTTATGTATAAAAAAGTTCAGTTATAACTTATATAATTGCTATATATTTAAAAATATTATAAACAAGTTATGAAATCCTGACAGAATTAAATCAATAGACAACAGATAAAATTGTTACCATTGCCTAACTTTGATGATGTAGGTCTTTTTACATTACTACAACCTTTTATTATCCAACTGATTACAAATTGTCACTCAAAATATAAAAATAGATTTATACAAAATAATGGCACTTTTTAATTTTTCAAATCAATTAAATCAAATCAAGAGCGATTTTAAATAACATCATTACATTTTTAAGTTTCCTACCTACTGTCTGTTTAACATTATAAGGGTACCTACCATTTCTAGTTTTAGGCTCAACCCGATTCAACATAACAATTAATCGATTTTTAAAATCCAAATCCAGCTGTTTTTTTATCTCGGAAATAGTTTTTAGAATTAATATAAAAAAATGCAGATAAAAATCTCCAATTCGAGACGCGCGTATACCTGCAATATTCTATTGCTCGTTGACGTGGAACAAATTATATATTAGATTACAGGCAACTCTATCAATTAAACGGACGGTATAGACGACCTCGAAAATTAGAAGAAAAGAAAAAATAATTACATATTCATATTATTATAATAGGTAGGTACGGTCCTAATCCAAAACATGTTTATAATTTAATTGTTTCTACTGCGGTTTGTTGGCGTGGGATATTTTTTTTCCCATTTCGATTCCGTATACTTAATATGTTGTTTAATAATACATATATCCATATATAGCATATATATATATATATATATATTAGCATTTGGCACCTTATACCGACCGCGTTTAATATTTATCATCGATGCACTATTATAAATTAAGCAAAATCGTATGCGTTATTTATCGCCAAGTTTCGATAGTAAAAAAATACATTTTAGTGTTGCCCCACTCTTTGTTTCTATCTAAAACGCATTGACCTTCTAGGAAAATTTCTGGTACCACTACTGCAGTAGTGATTAGCCCTCAAACCCAGGGTTGCACTGCTTGTCGACGTACGGCTATTAATTTTGTACATTTTACTTGATGGCATTAAGACAGTCTAAACACACGATGATCCTTCTGAATTCTATCAAACCGTGTCAACGACAAACCTAATAATTAATTGCATACCTAAAAACATTTTTCGATGGAAATCCGTTTAGCATGTTTAGCAAAGCTCGCCGTCCGATCGAGGCGATTGCGCACGAATTAGTCTTGTTAAATCCGACTTTAATAAATTACAATAATATTTTGCCACTTATAAACCGTAGTGTGTGCTAAACAAATTACCGAGATACCCGTAAGTTGTAACCGAACGCCGACTGCCGGCAAAACTGCGATGGCCACATATACACTCCTTGCAGTATTTTGTACGGGGTTCGAATTAATTATAAATATTAGCACGGTTGTTTTAATTTTATTTTTTTATCAAGCTGCTATCGATCGCCGTATGATATTATTATGCTTTGGCTCTTTTGGGTGTGTGCCCGTCGTACACACTATTAATGGCTGAATAATTCAACGTGTGATAGATGCCCGAGTTGGCCGTCGTTCGTGCTGCACAAGGTATAGAAGTGGCGCACCGCGCATTACAGTGACAGGAATGACAGCGATGAGTAATGGGAAAAAGCTCAGGCGATACCTAGTGTGTTTTTCGGTAACTCTAGCAAATATTAGTTAAGTCGAACGAGGTAGGACAATGTACGGTTTAAATCAGCAACGCCGATAAACATAAACGACCAAAATCGCCTTTTGAGTTTTAGTAGCACCTTACAGTTTGGGCCATCGTCGACTTTTTAGCCCACACGCACATCCAAAACGTATTTTCTATGATAATATTTTGCCACCCTGATCTCACACGCGACTTGACTTTTTACAAGTAAGTTTCTACTTCATTTTGTAGTTCAGTACAAACATTTGTGACTTACAACGACAAAGATTAATTATTGTCGGAACGTGGTTTCAATTTTCTCCTGCGCTATAAAAACTACAACGAACGGTTTTTGAATGTAAAACCTAATGATTTATAATTTACTGAAACTTACAAAGTATTTTATACTTGACAATATTATTTATGTTATGAACAACAAAACAATTTTGTTTCCTACTAGTGTACAATTAATCCTACAAAAGACTTCACCCGGAGGTCACGTAAATCGCAATTCTAAGAATGTTTTCAACTAGTTAGTCATAAAAACTTTTTTTTTTTTTTAAATCGACCGTGGGAAAAGTTCACGATGACTGATGCATTCCCCCAAAGCGATTTAGTGAAGTAGTTAATGTGTTGTTGAGGCTTGATGAAAAATATGATAAGTAGGAACAATTTATTTGTCATTTTTTGAAAATAATTAATGCATTATTATTAAAAATAGAATACATAGGAAATAAGGTTATAAATAATATTTAATTTTCAGCCAAAATATGATTTTGAAAATATTTTGACAATTAAATTAGGTAAAGTGGTTATGGTTATTCAGTTTAGTGATACACCCATATTTAGAAAAAAAAAAGTATATTATTTGACTTGAGTAGTATTATAAATTAAGTTGTGTTTAAAATTTTCCGGTAATTTTGCTTGGACTTTGAGTTAAATAAATTGACTCGAAAAGGTGTAAGTAATGAAATGTACGCCTAAAATATTAAAAAAATGGTAATAACTATTGAACTTTTTTTTTGTAGTAAAAATAATACAAAATGAAATCGTCTCGTGGCTTCATATTCAAAGCAGAAACAAACTTTGGAAATATTAAACAACGCTGCAATCAATTTATGCTCACTTTCCAAAACAGGTCGTCTTAATTATTGGGTCGCATCAACCTCTTGGTTTTGATCGATGCTTACATGATAAATTTATTAAGTGAACAAATTGGCACGATTATAACATGCGCTATTAAGCGTACCGAATATTAATTGTTTTAAATTATTACAAATTAATGTATACGTCGATTCTTACACAATGATACTAACAATAGCACAATTTTAATCACACCGATTTGTTATTATTACACCATGGCCGAAGATATAATGTGTGTACATAAATATAAGCAAAATCAATTGGATCCATCGCTTCCAACTGACTAAACAACAATATATAATATTGCAATGCAAAAAACGGCCGGCGGCATGATGAAAATCACAGAATTAAAGTTCCTTTTATACAACAGAATCCAATGTAGACGACAAGAAAATTGTAAACAGCAGAAATTATAAGGGCTTGTACGCTGACCCGGCAGAATAAAATATTATATTTTTTTCTTGACAATTTTTTCGTTATATAATGTACATAATGAACGCAACGAGAAGTTGTTGAACGGGACAACTTTGTTCAAGAAGAAAATATTGCTTAATATTCAGGGCCACGGCATAATGGCTTTGTATTCAGTCTGAATGTTGAGCCCTGTAAAGTACTCAACTCGAGCAAAGAAACACTTGTACGAAGACTTGAAAAAGTCATCGTGACTGCACTTACATCCGGGAAATCAATATTGTAACTTTGACACAACCGAGAGAAAGTCTAGAATCCTCCTTGTGCCACGATCATGCTAAATGTTAAGTATGCACTCACAAAAAATCGTTTTTAAACTATATTATACAGTGATATCATATTCGGAATTCATTGGGCATTTTAATGATTTTATAAGTTGACTTATGAAATGTAAATTTAAAATCATAATTCCGGAATTTGAACATAATATACACTAGGTAAGACATACTTAATACCTACCTACATAATATAACGTCAGTGAAATTATATGATAAAAACATTAAAAAATACACAGTAATTATTTGTTATAGGTAATATAAAAAAAAATATGATCGAAATGAATTTTGTAACTTGCCTTAAGTATATCTGTATATCACTTATCTCATTAACGATACACATTTTATTCATGACTCGTGACCTTTTCTGCAACACTGGTTTTGTATCGAGCCTTTTTTTAATGGCCTATTCAATTGATGTACTTACAATTATGTATTTATAGAGTCGTACTGTAAGACTGAGTTTTTTTATAATTATTATTTTTTTTTTACAGTTATCATCGATTAGAAAATACGTTTAAAGCTTTAATACAATTAAACCTAATGAAATATGCCTACGCTTACTTGTTTTAATTAAGTTTATTGCCAATATGCAGTTACATACTTTAGCTTGTTCATTAAATAAATGTATACCTATTATGTGAATCTAGTAAAGCTTAATTAGAAAATCAGCGGCGTGGAGTATCAGAGAATCAGGCTTACTAATTATTTTTCCACTATGTTAGTTTTTCATTTTTCATTTTTCAATTTAAAATAATTATAATAGTATATTGATTTTAACCACTAACAAGTACAAATTATATAATTATATATATCCATTTCCAATATAATAATATAAAAATATATTTTTTTTCATACTATTTTTATTATTTTATTATTATTTTAAGTCTTTACCTATAACTATATATTTAATTAAATTATTCCAAGTACAACTGAAATTTAGATAACTATTAAACTTACAAGTTACAATTTTTTCGGCAACGATGTTTGTTACTTATTTTTTTTAATTATATACTTTTACAACAATTTTAAATAGTTTGTTACTTATTTTTTCTTTTTCAAAACGTTTGCTATAGTACCTTAAAGCTATTCAAGGTCCTTATAGTTAATTTACTAGGCTGTCTTAATAACTGTTATACACAATTAAAAGATTTATAACACTCACAGTCCTATCAATGTATCTTATTGGTACCAGTATAATATAAAAACTTATTTGACACAATTTGTATGTTTAGATTTGTTGTTGAATGAATTTAATGTAAGAAATACATAATATATATACATATACTTCCGTGTGCATATTTTCTATTGGAAAAACAAATAACTTCTTTATTACTTAAACATTAAATTCAGTTAAACGCAATATTTTTCTTGCCAAAGCGTATAGGCTCTGACATGGGCATAATTATAGTGGAGTGCCTAGATATTTTTTTCATACACATATCATAAGTGTTGGCACCTCGCACTTAATATAAATAAATACATGCTGGATCACACTTTAACCTTCACTTTTTGCTTTAAAGTATCATTTATTAATTTAAGTGATATGGTGTAACGCTGTATAATTATATTTATTATTCTAGGAGATTATTTAAAATTAGTATCTATTTATAGATTCATGTTTAATTAAACTACTGCATAAACAATAATATTATGGTTAGCGCGTTGTTTGGACTACAATTGACATTAATTACAATAGATAAAAGGAAACTGTTAAAACAATTATGTATCAATCATTTTTTGTGAAAGACAGATATTTAATTTGATTTCAAAGAAATGTTATTTTAATATTTATTCAGAACGATAGAAGTCTGAGACTAACTTCAACGTTTCTACAATCGGTATGAGTATATTATAATAAAACGTTCATTTAATTAAAGTACTAACCAGAATGTTTCAGATACGGGACAGGTCCTAATTGTTTATCAATCATTCCACATAAACCGTTAATTAATCAAATAGAATGTATTTTATTACCATTATACTACTTATTACCTTTATTACAAAAATCCACTATATTTGATTAATTAACGGTTTATGTGGAATAATTGATAAACAAACAAGACGTCAGCGATGATGCTACTTTGAATATTGGCCAAAACCCATAATATATTGATGTTTATAATAAAAAACAAAACACATTTTTAGTATAATATATACATATTCAAATGTCCGGGCTACATCCAGTAACGATTATCGTTAACACAAAGATGCATTAACATAAAAATTACATCATTTTGCGTAAAGGCTTCTAATAGGATCGGAGGAAGGGTGCGTTGTATATTTTAAACACAAACACCTTTATTCAAATTTTGTAGTATTATGCATTAGCATTATGTATATAATGTATGTTCATTGGGTTAATGTAATTCCTGTATATTATGTACAGTGTATTTCTATAAAATATGTATTAAACTCTTCATCTCGCGAAGAACCTTCAGTAAACAATTTCTAAATTCTATCTATAAAGTACATAATATAATATAGACTGAGTATTTTCGTCGACGAATGCTAGAATACATAAAAACTGGTTATAGTTATTGTATAACAATATTGCGGCCTTACATAATATCATAATTGTCATTGAACATAGGTACATATTCTACATATTCTACTAGTCATTATAATCAACGATGATAGATTCAGAAAATCCAAAAGAGCGTGTTCCTCCCTGCTAGCCATCACAGCGATGTCGACATTGAATTTCGGTGTAAGCATATTTTTTGTAAAACTAAAAATAATTTTCGTGAAATAATGTAGATAACAATAGTTGAATTATTTGGAACAACAGCTACAGGTACACACAATATTGATGGACATAGTAAGGATGTATGCCGATGGTGGTATCGCCTATAATACTATAAAAATATCTATTACCGTGGACGTCCAATGAGGATTGGCGGATTCTACGGTAAGCCTAAGGACCTTGGAATATTGTGCAAAAAACGATCGTGATAAAAATTAAAATTACATGTATAAATGGTATGTATACGTGTATAAACACCGACCATTATATATGCATGCATACATATATTATTATATCTGTTGACTATAATGAACGCGCGTTTGTGTTTTTGTAAATATAAGTTATAAAACTTGGCGAGGAGAAGTTAACCGCCAGCACGCTTTATAATAACCATTTTTTCTGGCTATAAGCTAATAGAAAAATAATAATAATATGGTTGTTAACATACACACACAGTGCCGGTTTAGAGGTTAAAAACTATCCCACTTCAAAATCAAAGTATTCTACAATTTTCAAATACTACTTAATCGAGTTGTGTGTGGGACGCATCAACAGCTATATTATATTGTATTCTCACCCCTCGCTTCACCCCAGCAATGGTACATTATTATACGGAATGGTGAAAACAAGTACAAAAATTTTCAACAACAACTACTGTAATAGGAAAATAATATAAATATACTCAGTCTGAAGTCCTTGAAAATGCATTTCTTGTGTAAACAGACATGACATATCTTTTTTTTTTTGTGATTTCATCGACGCAAATATGCATAAAAATAAATACCAGGTACAAACGTACAAATTGTTATTGGTTGTTGTACTCGATTTTCTTTTATAATTCGGTTTTTATTTATACAAAAAATGCATAAATGTCTTCAAACTGTTACCCGACGCTGCACGTTCGGTTTATAATTTGTTCTTTAACAAAGAATTTCATTCATATTATGTTATTAAATTTGCACAGGAAACAACATACGCGTCACATTATTAAATAAATGCAAATTTTTCGCACCTGAGATATTCTGTACAATAGAGTATTGTGAGCGACCATAATATATTATATTTGTTCACTAAACAATTATATATGAATATAACAATAATATAATTAATTAAGGTAAAGCGGTTAACGATTTTTTTCTTTGAGAAAAACTTACTATTGTACAGTTTTGCGAAAAACCCGTTGTCACGTCATTTCCTGTATTATCTTTATTATTACAAATTATTCGATCCTAGTGTAAAGCACTTAACATTAAGTATTTTTATCTTTCAACGGTAATAACCATAATGTAATAAGTATTATGTTTAAACTTTTGAAAACAAACGTTGGGCCAGTGTCAGTCCATAAAAATTTCAATGACGAATCATAATATTATCGTTATCGATTAATATATTAAGTGTTACTTGTGTGATCTGTACGCTATCAAAGTTCAAATTATGATTCAATACCTTCGTGGTGTTAACAAATTGCCATCGATACAGTAGTCATCGGTTGCGTTATATTAATCTAAATATTAATGTAGTTTACGAAAAGGTAACTTAATTAGTTTGTTGCTGAAAATAATACTATTGATATTGATATTTTATATTATATTATATCAATATCATTGCCCTATGATGAAATGGGATATTTTATTTAACTATACTTTATTTGTTATTGTAATGTTTCGTTGCATCATTTTATTTACTTACAAAATAATTACAATAGAAACAAGTTGAAAATCCGAAGCTAAACCGTAACAAAAGCTAATCTTATATTGGCAAGATTGTTAAGAAAAACGCCACTTATTTATAATCCAGGTATAACTCTTTAATGTTTAAAAAGACGAGTGACCGAGTAGGTAAGGCGGCAGAGTTCTACTCTCTGTGGTCAGACGACTATCTAGAGAGCTAAGAGACTTCTACCATCTAATGGTGCCCTGAAAATTGTGCCAAAATATATTTTCAAATGTTTATTTTATACATACATAAAAAGAATAACAACGAAAGTGTTTAACTGGAATAGTATGCCAATTTTATGGAAGGTTCATCTACTATTTAGTGAGGTATAAATAGTAATGGGTTTATGCCTATTTACTACGCCATAATCTATTAGCACAGATCATGCTTTCTTTTCTTTTTGAAATAAACAAAAAAAAATATATACATTATTTTAACTAGCATCCAATGTTATTGGCAATCGCGCTTCAATTGTGACTATTCTAAGATTTAGATATTATTATACATACTTTTATACTTTAACTAACTACTTTTGTAGTAATCATATCGTTTAACGATTCGTTGTAAAACAACGCAAAAAAGAAGCAAATTTATATCTCATTACATTACCAACAAAGTAATGCCAATCATTTATTTATTATGGATACACCTTAAACGTTTGATAATTGAAAATTATCTTACCATTTTTTAGTGTAGTATATCCTAAAGGGATTTGAAAAATATATTAAGGTAATTTTACGATATTAAAATGTATTAAATATTATACATTGATTCTCCGCAATAACGAGAAAAAATAATCAATCAATTTTTTTGGAACTAACATAAACCGGTAATTTATTGAAATACATAACAACCATGACATAACTACATTAAAAAGTGAAGTCAAACTTTTAAATTTGCAATAACTTTAGTTAAATTCTGAAAAAAGGTTGATCTTTTAAAATTAATTTTGTCGGTGCCCGAATACTTGTAAATTTATTCATTTTCATTTTTAATCTAAGAAAAAAATCCAATTATTACTTATATAACGAAACGTTTTATGAAATTGAACCATAAAAAATTCAAATCACAACCGATAGATGATGTGCTACCAATAATGTATAGTCAATGTCAAAGTAAGGAAAAAAAAACAAATTTGGCTATTTATTGTACAACATATTTACATATGACACTAGTTTCCATTAAAGTAGTTTTTTCATGTTTACATGACATCAAGCATTCGAAGTCGAATCGACAATACAAAAACAATAGGCAGTAGATACTATCTACGCTTCACCGTCATGGCGGATTTTTTTTTTTAATAGTAATTTGTTCTTAATTAGTTTATAATCGACGAATACCTACATCTTGTTCTTAAACGTTAATCCTAATTTCCACGAAAGTCATTAAAAACACTATCAAATCGTAAATAGGTGTGTTGTTGCGTGTAGGTCCAACACAATTATTAGGTATGTTCTTACTAAATGGAGTCCAATATCTGTGGAAATAAATATTCGATAAGCAAACATTATTTAGGTGTTATACGCACATATTATGTTTTAATTTAATAATATCGCTTTTACATTGCTACTATTTTAGCTTTAACTTATACAAATAGTTGCAGGGATGGTTTACGAATGAATATACAATGTTTCAAAAATATTATATTTATTATATTAATTGTCGCTATTAATACAAATAATATTACAAAATACAACTAGTATACTACGTAATAATGTGGTCTTGAGAATTCATTATAGTCACTAGGTAAAATTACAAAAATGTAAAAATTGAAACCTATACGTGATATTATGGCACATTTCATTAAAACGTGTAAACAATACAGACAAACGATACCTAAACAGGATACAACATTTTGAGAGTGGAAGATAATAACAATATGTATAAAAAAGTTTGACATATTATGTTGTAGTTGTACCGGTCTCCTTGACCTCCACCTACATCCGATACTGAAGAAGTTGCTGCTCGGGGATCTGATCCCCGAGATCAGACAGGAATAGGTACAGCATAACTACTAGTACCTAGTATTACTAGACATTAGTAATACCCCAGTGATTTTTGGCAATGCAATACATATATATATATTATGTATACCGCACACCATTGATTAGAAAATCAATCCTAATACCTATCACTTAAATATATTAAACTGTGAGTAATCGCTTGATGTAGTTTGTAATGAATATATAATCATGCCGTTATTTAGTGCACGCAGTGTCACAGCGATGAATGTCTATGATAAAACACAAAACTAGTTACAAGATAAAATTGTATAATTATTAACGAAATTGATTGCTATTCGATTATAATGTCCCTAATATTATTACTCTTTTTTTTTTTTTTTTGCGCCAAGTCACGCAATACTACAGTGTATCGTACTATTAGTGCATTAAAGTTAATTTTCTATACTAAATCCATCTTGGTTTTTACATACGACGCAATATCATTCCAATAATTACATTTACTATACGAGATGGCTTTGCTTATAATGATTTTATTAGAGTGATCCGGTTATATTTCAATTACATAATAATATTATATATTTCCAAAACTTGTACTTACTGGAAACTACATCACAATGTGTAACACGTATTACAAAACCACTACTAAACTCATTTAGTGTATGGTCGAGGCTGACATGTTTTTTTTTCTGAAGTTTTTGTGTGAACAAATATCATGTGTTGAGCTTATTTCTGAAGATAATTTTCACTAACATGCATATTTTTTTAGTTTTTGCTATGGTACTTAAGTATAGTGATTTAATATTATTTTACTAGCTGAGGCACACTCGCTTCCTAGGTCAATTTTTTACCTCAGTACCGATTTAATTTCGCCCTATTTTCCAGTTACAATTATTTTATCGTGTACAGAAGCTGATCATACATCCAAGGCTTGCCGGGAGAAAGTTCTAGAAGATTCCGTGGAATTCTATGGACTGCTATCGAATACTTAAACACATCAAACGGTCATACTTACACACCACCTACACCCTTTCCAACCAAACTCTCTTATTATCGATTGGGCACGTTAAGTTACACGGGTGTATACCGAGAAACGGGGATTATTTTTAATAATTATTGTATTAGCATATTATATTGATTATTATTATTTACAGAACCAATGAGCGGAGACTGTTATCACATGACATCCTCTCAAACCGTTTAGTAATATTTTTGTATGAACTGTATTTGAAATATATTATAATAATATAAACTATTATTCATAAAATATATTATTATATATTATACTTATAATTTGTAATTGTTTTAATGTGTGCTAAAAGCCCATTTTATACATTTTTTTTATATCCAAAATATGTAATTATATAATATATTAATATATACAGATAGCTATTATTGAAGTGTACCTCTATCACAAAAACAAGGCTGATCTTACAATCAATCCAAACGACTAAAATTTATAATACACAAACAAATGTTTTTGGTTCAGTGGACTAGTAGCGAATTAGGTACGCAAACAGTATGCAAGAATTAAAATTTAATTAATGTGAAATTCCATAATCGAAATTGTTTGCTAAATTATTATCGCTAAAATATCTATATTTTTTCAGTGATTTATTCATGTATTACTTACGCAATTTTAAAATAAAACCAGTGACATTTACAAAGTAATTAATTCAAAGAATTTAATTTTACCATGTCATGTTAAATATTTATAAGTACAAAACATGTTTTTTATAATATATTAATCATATTTTTGTTGCGAATTATTAGTTAAAAAATATAGAATTACATTTTTTTCTGGAAAAAATGATATCCCTCATCAATCAACAGCTTGGTAGGTACAATATCAATACATACAGTACACATGTACAATATAATAATAGGTCAATACAATTAACACACACACCAGATCCGTACCCAATTTGTAGTGTAAACTAATGTAATTTAATATTTTGTCGTTGAGACAATAAGAAACGATCACTGTTGCGGCGGTCAACATTTGAAATTCAACCTGATAGTCCCCACAACCATTTAAAAAATAATTATTGGTAGACAAATCTATAGATGCACGATTATTGAGCCTATGTTAAAATATGTCGTTCCAGTTTGACGGATGTCAAAATAAAGTGATCCAAGACGATGAGAAAATGGCTCCCATCAAACTGGAAAAATCACTTTAGAGATGTACCTTTACAATGTTCTACATTAATATCATTAGTTTATATTATAGTTAAATAAAACTGATTAGCTTAGCTTGTTGGCTTTATTACCTACTTATATTAATTTAAAAGTCAATGACATGGTTGGTAAAATAAAAAAAGTTGGTTTTCTTTATTTAAACACAGAAAAGTTATATAAACAAAAAAAATAGCATTAAACCAAAAATATGGATTATATACGGATCGTGTGTACCTAAAAAATCTAAACTGGATAAGTTTTTTTTTTTTAATATGACCGCGTTTTTATACTCTGATTATAAATACATGACAAATTCTTTCCACCTTCGGGTTATTAAACAATAACTATGTATCTACTAATTAATTAAGTACTCTGAATGCAGAGTGCTAATATGATTTATTACTACTTAATGGTTAACAAGTAGTAAATGTGCGAAAGAGACGGACTGGACATGCACCGACCTAGTGGGCAAATTAAATATAGCTCACCTATTTTTTTTTTAAATATGCTATGTTATTAATTGCAAAACCGGCCTGCTTAGACATGCATCCCGGTCCATTCCGCCCTCTCTATCCAGTCTAGTATTTGCTAAAACTGCAATTAACAAAAATTGAAAAAAAATATATATAATTATAAGATCATTCTATCCTACCACATACATGTATAACATTTAAATATTAGTAGTGATAATGTCTGGTCTTAGTAAAAAATCAATAACAAATAATATTCACGTACTGTCTTGAACGACATTTCACTTGAAATTTTTTGCATTTTAGTATTTGCGTTTTCGTTTTAAAATGAAAATAAGGTCACCTTTACACAACGCATAGCCACCTGTTTACTAGGTGTAACCTGTTTTTTTTTGTCAATATCGTGGGTTTTTTAATTTAAAAGGTAGCATTTTTATTTTGTTGCTAAATTGATTCTTTAATTTTATATTGTTGAAAAGTTATATACAATACTATTAATATTTAAGTCATTATTAGGATGTTTTAATTGAACGTCCACGATATTTATTTATTGAAGTGTTTAAATCTATACCGACGGCAACAAGGAACACCTAGCAATTTGACCACAATTATTGTTGACACTTCATTAACTTTTCTCGGCTCGTAGTCAAACCTGTATTGGAGTAAATAAACCAATGTGTTTATTTTTTAATTAATTTAATACGGCACGTACGGATTCGTTAGAAACACATAGCGCACAGTCGATAATAAATGCAAGTATTCAAGAAAACAAACCATGACTGTAATGTCTAATTAGATTAGGACAAACCGATAATAAATTATACCCAACTCGGAATAAACAAGTATTTTTATTTGTTACAAGGAAATTAAATTGTATAAATAATAATAATAATAATAATAATAATGGAATACATTTAATATGATTGTATTTTAATTCACATAACCACTGCAAAATGTCAAGGCACGCGTGAAATCGGTAAGTTATGGAGTACATTTTTTATTAAGTTTTTGGACATAATTATAATTTATTTGGAATGTTTAATTATTGAACCTTATATGTTATTCGTTGGTTGGTAATCGTCTTCTTCTTCATCGTTGACATTTATAACTTCGTTAGAGTATTCGCCGCCATCACTACTTCCTTCCATCTCTGCCATTTCGGGTTGTTGGAAATCGTGGTACACAAAAAAGACATCGAACTCGTCGAATAATTCAATAGCCCGAAAACTCACACCGTCTAGTATTTTTTTTAAAAACCCGAAAAAAACTTGACCACACACAATACTCTTCGGTGTTGTGTGTTCATCGGTATCAGCTATGTTTTGGGAAATTTCTTTTGAAATTGCAGCCAGTCTACTCATGTCGATGTCAGCTAGATTTAAAGACGTTGTCCTGTGGTTTTTCGTGTCTCCCACGGATTCATATTCGCCGTTTTTTTTCAGCAGACTTACAACCGAAGACAGTGTCATCGAAAGGGGTAAATATTGAAAACAAAGTCCGTTAATCAATCGGTTAAACTCGTCATTTTTTTTTAAATTTAGGTAACCAGCAAAATCGATCAAAAGCCGACGAAACGTTTCAAAGTGCAATGCTTTTTGTTTTTTGGGCATGCGCGGTAAGTTTAACTCGCTTAAGACCATCCAAAGTATGCGCATCATTATTGTCTTCAGCAACCGAATGAAATGAAAATGGACAACTTTGAGCGAATGAACAAAATCGCGAAACGGCGTCGCGGGATTTTTAACCAGTTCCATTTTGGTCGACAAGAAGTCCGCAATTTGGTGGCCTTTTTCCACGTGTACAAAACCAGCGATTAGAGTGTTCATGATGGCATTGTTTACCGGCACGTCGTTTAAATGCATCCGGTCCAAATCGAAGTCTTCGGAACCTTCGAGTTGGTTCAGATGTGCACAGGTCTCTGTGAGATGTTCTAACGCTGAATTGCCATCCAACTGTTGCAGCTTCTCCATGTAAGACCAGTACACGGGATTGTTGCGCGAATTGACGCGAATCGTAGGCAAGAAAGCCATTTCGAAATACTTGCTCACACCAAAGTGGAGCTCTTGCATTTGTTTAGAATTTTGATTGTATTCATTTGCGTACAGTCGCATTTTTTGCCCGTGGAAATAAAATAGCCACGCGAAAAACAGATAAGGTTTGTCGTCGTGGAAATTTATGTCGCTCATGATTTTCAACAGTTGCTGGTCCCATTTTGGGCAAGCCTGGTCAACGCTGTAGTGTAGATGTCTATTTCCGTGGTTTTCCGGAACCGTCAGACGCAAATAAACCAATATATTATACACATAATTACATTTCAGTTCCGCCTTGATATCCCTGACACAACAATGTACACTGTTCTCGGTCATACCTTGCAAATCGGCCACATCGTTCTGGGTTCGAGCACAAATGCCTCTGTTGTACGCTTCGACGGCTTCATACTGATGTATCAACTGATCTTTAGTGAACACATATTCGGTATTTGCGTTTGGCGACCATTCCACCATCATTGTCAGTACAACGACCACCCAAGTTCTACTAAAGTTGTATGCCATTGTCCAACTTAACTCGCCAACACTTTAAACGTACTAACTCCAAGTTGTATTTGATACATACCTCTGTGTAGCTGACGCACAAACCAAGTCCAATGTAGAACAACAGCTGTTTATACACTGTATATTTATTCTATTTGCTGAAAGTTTGTTTTCTCTACTCGACGACTAGCACAAACCATCTAGTGTACTAGGCATAATGTATAAATCACAATTTGTAAAATTTTAGAACATTCACTAGATTTTTTCGGTAGTATTTACATTTTATTAGTTTATGGAAATGATTTTATGATTGTGTAATACATAAAGAAAACATATTTTACTTCGTATTCAAACCAAAAAATTATTGCTCTGCCGATATTAAAACCCAAATGGATGCTTATCGACTTTTCTATACCATAACGAAACAAATAAAATAACTTGGTCCTGTTAAAGGAAACCAAACGCAGGGTCTTTGCCCTTCACAACTCTCCATTTAACTGCTCCTATTGCTACATGTAAATATAAGATAAACTGATAAATGCAAAATATTTGTTGTATATTTATACATAATTGGTATAACGGGCTATGGAATTTGTACCTACCAACTATAATAAAAAAATACATACATAAATAATATTCTTAGAAATTATAAATATTCAATTTTTTTTTAAAGTATTGGGCTCGTAAATCAATGGTTAAAAAAGTACATAAAAATACATTACAAAACACTTGTTTAAAGACTTTGATTCTTGCTGGAGTGATTTTTTTTTACTTTCCAACTATTGAACTTAACAAAACCTTACATACATAAATTGCAAAAAAAATGTTTTGAGATAAAAAAATTTGACGACAGTTAAAATAACTTTTTTTTATGAATAAAATGTTTGACCTGACTCACGTTTCACATAGAATTTTTCTATTGTTCAAGTTAAATATAATGTTTTAAAGGGTAGTTATGTTAGTTGAAGGTGTAGAGACTGAAAGGACCGTTGTTTTAAATGCCAATTAATGACCTACTTATTTAGTGGCCTACATATTTGATTTAACGAAGATAACTACTAGACGATATTATAACTAGATTTGAGTAAAGTATAATTTTAAGGCTCTAATTTTAAAGTTGTTGGCGTTTCAAGGCGTTTAAGCGATAAAAAATGATAGTATCGTGAAATTCGGAAGACCCTGTATAAGTATAAGCTATTGAAACGGTGTCTTTTACGTTTACCTACGTCATCAATGTGGTCAATTCCAAATCAAATATTAACATTAACGGTTATTATTATTATATAAGAACGCAAATGTAGCCCCGTGCACTTACTTCCTTGGCCGTGTTCACACTTCAGCACACGTCAAACGAGAACCAGAATGATAATGATTTATATTATCGTTATTATTTTATTTCTACTAATAGGTTTTCATGCGAAATGTCGTCATACTTGTCTGCAAATCCGGTACGTAGCTTTGAAAACAACCGCATAATTCAAATAAATTATTTTCAACTGTCATGTTGTAGTGATGGAATAAAGAAATAAAATTTCCCGTAAATACTCGATAAAATATTATTCGCGCTGATCCATTTTAATTTCCATAGGACGTTTCCGCAATAATTTTAAAATTAAAATCAACGGCACCCCAACCAAGTACACCGATTGAAGTACTAAAATCCAAAGTTTCTATCAGCATAACATATATTATGTTTATCGTTTTAATGCGAAAAATGCTGTATAGTTCTATTTGTTTTTTTTTTTTACCGATTAGTTTTCAAGGAAAGTGAAAAACCATTCAAATTTGTGCATTGGGGTCACCACCACTGTACACAATGGACGTCTACCACTACAGGTCTATATTGTACACCACAGTTGGTCGTTTCGTCATGTTTATTTTCGATTCGGTTTACACGTGAAATATTACCAAGAAAAAAACCAAATCTTTATGGCAATTATTTCACAAATCGATTTGAGAAAGACCACTTTTGAATTCGGTTCTCAATCTTCGCTTGGCTAAACGATTTAATAAAACGTGTTGGGCTACTATTGAAATGATTTTTTTTTCTTCTAAAAAATATGTTCGTGTTGATGTATTTTTCAAAGCAAACCCTTAATCGGAGGTTTACAAATTAAAATTTATTTTAATAATTTGCATTCAATATACTGATGTAAATATTTCTGGTTGTTGAATTAGATACTAGATTAGTTAAGTTTTATTTTTGCTATTATTTTACATTAACGCATTACTGCGCTTAAATGATTTATTATTGCTGTCGTTATGTACGTTAAAATTGTAATCAATAGCCGATAAACAAATATCATAATTATTCTATCCACTTATTATATTATATTAAAAGTGCATGATCTATATGTTATCTAATATTTTATGTATACTAAGTTCTGTACTGATAAGGTGTCTATTAGGCCTACGTTATGTTTTGCACTCTTATATTTCACCTTAAGGTATGTACTAGGTTTACTTAATCATAATATCACCTGATAAACTAAAAATAAATAATTAATGTAATATTTCAATGAACACGCATTGCCCAGAATAAGCGAGTCAGTTATGCGATGATCGACGTCGCATTGGAAGACATTATAGTGTGGCTTAACAATTATTATTTTATAGTACTCATAAAAAAGCTATTAAATTTGATTAATGTGAACGACATTGTAGAAGCTGGACTCTATATTGTTATACATGGGGTTTATCGAAGAATAATTATTAAATTGTCAACGAAGCTAAAAATAAGTATAATGTTATGTAAAAAATGTATTTCATCAAAATTAATAGGTACTCGATATTCATAGTTTTACTACCGGTGTCCAAGTGTAAGCCTACTAGATAGAGACGCCCATTAAACTCACACACTCATGACAATAGGTTCAATCAACTAAGTCACACACATGTACACTTGTATGGGTATGTTTTATATTTGACTTACTTGTATACAATAAACCATACGGATTTCGATTACCTTGTCAACGAGCACACTAAACCGAATACATGTTATCCGTTTACAATGTGTTATGTGTATTATTTAAAAAAAAAGACAACAATAATCGTTGGCGGGTTTTTAAGTGTAATGCTAAAAAATAAGTACATTATACTATATTGTTGAAAAAATTAATTCCATAAAATTGAATAACCTAATAATAGGTGCTCGATATTTATCGTTTTACGACCGGTATCCACAAGTGTAAGCCTATTTTAGATAGAAACGCCTAATAAACTCACGCACTCTTGACAATGGGTAATAGGTGCAATTAACTCATGTACACACATGCACACTTGTTGCGCGTGGGTGTGTTTAATATTTGACTTACTTACGTATACAATCAAATACAATACGGATTATCACCCGTCGGTGTTTAATTTAAGCTCAAGAATTATTATGATGATCTAACGAGTAAATAAAATAAACCGTTATCCGCATAAAATATAGGATGCTACATTTAGACACCACTCAATATTATAATGTGTGCGCTGACATAATCCTTCAACGCTCAAACATGAAACCACGTCATACTTATCTACACCTAATTGTTCAAAACGTTGGGCTTGTTCGGTAAATGCTAAATCGCCATGTAGGTATTGTGTACAATCGGCTTGTACTCTGCACATATATATAGGGAAGGAAGAACGTTTTTAGTGGAAGTGGAAAAGACTATAGTAGACCTAAGTGGTCGAGAGCAAGAAACAAAATGGACACCCGCAATGTCATCAAGTGTGGAAATTTTACCATAAAAAACACAAGTGTTTCGAGAATTTTTATAATAACAATTTTATTCAACTATCAAAATACAAAATAATAAGTTTCTCAATAATACACACACGCAAACACACGTATTTAAATATAATTAGGTATACAATATTACTACAAAATAAAAATGTCCATTTGGTATTCATTGAAAATATATAAACTATTTTTTTTTCATCGTTTTTTTTTTTGTCAAACACACATACACATAATATTAGGTATTATATAAGTGTATAAATCGAATAAAAAGAAGTCCAAGTAATAAAATATAATAAATATTATTGACGGCTTGAAAAACACCACGGTATCTAATATCGTACAGCGTTTGTGCATAAAAATATTATATCATATTGGTAATAACGATTTTGCCATTTTTCCGACTCGTCACGGGACTGGCTACAAACAACATGTGTATTTTTTAAACGTTCGAGCAAGTGGTTGCGCAGAATACATCATTATACATTGTTTTTTAACACATACACACAAGTCGAGGGACGAGTCGAGTGTATTGTACGAACAAAATATAGTTATGGGGCTTTGACATTTCTCTGTGGCAAATAAATAGTTGTTATTATTATTATTTTTTTTTTCTAAAAATTCTTATTTGTCAGAATGCATTTTAGGAGGAACGTCGGGCTCAATGCAATAATATGCAATGTAAATGAAATGCGTATGTGCAAACGAATGACAAACGTGATCATGTTTTATTGTTGCACGATGTGATTGTACATGCGATACACACGTTACACGATTGTGATGATTCTGTTTTGTGAATTATGCGGTTTCCGGCCTTCCGGGACCATAACAAAAGAATAGGAAAATTGAAGAGAAAAAAAAATTGCAAACTGCAAACTGCAAAATCGCATCGGTAGCACGAGCGTCTACCTAGAATTTCGCATAAACGCTATAAAGCTAGCATTATTTTGTTCCTTTTTAAGTTATCAGAGCGATAGAGGGAGAAAGAAAAGAGAGAATAATATTATGTAGAATCGTTTTAATTTTTAAAAATAAATAAATAGGAAACGCAATAATCGATTAAGTAGACCGCATTTGTTGTTTTTTTTTCTAAGTGCTAAAAAGTTGTCTAAACGTTTGATTTGCTATCATTTTAGATAATAATATTCTACTTATACATATAAATATTATATTATATTAAATACTAATCTCTAATAATACGATTGCTTGACTAGGTCGATTTATAATATTTACATATTTACTATGTACATATATCAATCAAATAATAATAATAATAATAATAATGATAAAAATAATAATATGTATGTGTACGTTGATGCGAATGTTAAGCGTTGACAATTGTAAAAAAAAAAAAAACACAAAATACCTACCTAAAATCGTACGCGTTGATAAATATCATAATATAACATATAATTATTTTGGTGGAGATATTAATAATATATCAGTATCGAAAAACTGGTATCTAGTTTTGTACATATATTGTATAAATGATAATCAATGATTAATTTTTAAACGACAAAAAATAAATAAAAATGGTTTTTTTGTTCGCTAGTCAAGTGATGTTCGGGTAGCACGCGCCAAGTTTTACATAAGCTTAAGTTAAGACAGAATTTTTTTTTTAAAAATTTGTTATACATCTTATTATTTTTCGGGGGGATTTCTTAAACATATACGCGCCCCGTAAGTTTTTGGCGCAACGATTTCGATCACCGTCGGCCAACAAACACCCGCGACCCTGTCCGTTTAAAGCCACTACAACAATAATATTTATCATAATTATCATGGTATCGGTGGTACACCTGTCCGTTTGAAGACTGCCCGCGAGAGCGTCTTCTCACGCAGTCCTCATACGCTGACGCAATGCGGTTTCCGGCTGGTGAGGTTGCGGTTGTTGGCGACGCGCCGGTGAGGGACGTCCTTTTGTTGCTTGTCGTCGGGACACGAACACGGCGGCGCCTCTACATAACCACTTTCGTCGCTGTCCTCCTCGGACAGCGAGTCCAGGTCCGGTGCTATCTTCTTTATGCTGGACACGTCCGACCCGCCGCTGGATATGCTCTGCAGGCTGGGCGTGGACTCGTCGTCCGGGTAACCGCAGTCTTTGTCCTCGTCGCAACAGTCCTCTTCTTCCTCGTCGCAATAGTCTTGGCAGCCCTCGAACAACATTTTCCTGTTCTTCACTAAGTTTTGGTACGAGCTGAGTATCTCCGGGGCCGAGCTCAACCGTTTGAATCGCTCGTCCTGACGCTTTACGTCGCCGCTTATGCCCTCGAACAGTTTCTTCCGGTCCCGCACCAAACTATTGTACTTATAACACACGTCGTCCGGTCCCTGCGGGCAGTCCACCACCACCTCGTTGTACTTGGGCAGCTCGCCGCATCCGAGCAGGTTGTCCTGGTTGTCCACGATGTCCCGGTACGAGGGTAACTCGGCCGGGCGACAGTCATCGACGACGGCGGGGGCGGTGGGTGTCGATTCCTCTGCCACCTTTTCGGCGGTCGGTTCGTCTTCAGTCAACTGACTGACGGCCAGCCTGCTCTCGATTTCCGCCGTCGCCGACTCCTTGAGACCTTGCAGGCCGCCCAGTCGGTTGCGGAGCGTGCCCGTCCGCAGACGATTCTCAGCCCGGCACCTCCGGAACGGCGATTCGGCGGGTTCCTCGTCCTCTTCCAGGCTCTCCTCGATGGCCATCAACCGGGGTGCCGATTTGGACCGTTCCAACGGAGGCCTGTAGTTGTGCGACCCCGTCGACAGCAGTATCTTGCGCCGAGGCAGCGACGGGTTCTCGTAGACGCTGTTGGCCAGCGACAGCCGGGCGTTTTGCCTGCTGATCTTATCGCGCTTGAACTCGTTCAGCGCTTGCGCCAGCCTGCACTGCAGCTGGCTCGCGATCTGCTTGGCCACCGACTCTTTGGAGCACACCACCGCGTGACACCGGAGTTCCTGTTTGAGTTTGCGTCCTTCGTGCCGGTACACCCAGCAGAATATGCGGGGAAACTGCGGTGACGCCAGACAATAGGTGATGCGGTGGCTCCAGTATTCGGTGAGTCCGTGCTCTTTGGTGAACGCCTTCAGACCCGACTGCGTGATGGTGAGTTTCATGTGCACGTCCGGTTTCTGGTTGCACGTGTAATTCTTCCACAGACTGCACAGCGGTTTCTCCACGCACGTTTCACCTGTAACAAAAAACGAAACAAACGTTATTAAAAAACAACAAAAAATAACAGTTTCGGATAACGGTCTAACACAGCGTTCCATAAAAAAAATTTTTAAAAAAATGCGAACTACCACCCTATACCAGCTAATGGTCGTGAACCGGGAAAAAATGCCCTATCCCCACGCGTTGATAAACAAGTAAAGTCCCAACACGACACAAAAGAAGTTTGCAAAAACACAAATCCTGCCGTCGGCATTAGTATTCACCTTACACGGTTCGCGGATATAATAATGGCAATATTAAATAGTGTCGCGATGCGCACTCTCGATTTGGCAACCATACGAATTACTGTATCATAATAATTATTATTGTCTTAGTGCTAGCTAAACCTATTGTGCCGCAAGCAAACCCCGGTACGCGGATCACGCTCTCGCCGTAGCACCGGCAATTCGTGTCAGTGTCCTTCTGTATATATTATATTATACACGTCTTATTTATTATACAGTGTAGTATTTAATATTATGCCGAGAATATAAAAATATTGTCTCCGCGGGCCGGTGTCATCGACGACAGGGCGTGGCCGTGCAATAACTATTTCTGTGAGCGCCTTTCTAGCCTCGTATTGACTTAATTTCAAGTATTCGGTGGTTTCAACCAGGAGTACCTAGTAGTTAGGTTAAGTTAGCCCTAACCTAACCAGGCCTACATTACAAAATAATTACAGCTTAGCGTTTTCAGCCACGAGGGGAAAACGGGACACCCCTCAACTGTCCAATGCAATGACAAAGCGTTTTCGATGAATTCGTCTCAAAGCGGTGTTTCTCGGAAAACTAACGGCGACCGTTCAAGGTTTCGACCTAGGAAAGTCAACCGGGATCATAATAATCATGTTTATGATTACAAATGGGTTAAACGGTGACCGGCATAATATAATAATATACCGTGTTGCCTTCTACACGACGGTCGACTGTATTTTCAAGTATATTTTTTGCCTATTTTCCAGTGGACGGCAATAATAATACAGAGCATTATTTATTATAATAATATACATTTTCTCGCGGATAGGACAACAATAGCGCGGTGTCGCGTGACCCAGTGATTTTTTTTTTGTTTTGTTTTTTAATCCACAGCTGGTCGTGACGTACCAGTAGCGGTATGGGATTATAATATTTTTTCAATGGCCCGTAGTGCGTTGGGAATAGGTAAAAAAAAAAAAATGTAAGTATGACGACGAGTAGGTGGTAGAAGTGTTGTAAGCGAAACGGTAGGCCCGAATGAAAAAATAGTATTTTATAATATAGTTTATCGCAACCCTCGAGAATAGACTTCCAAGTACCGACGAGTAGTGCAAGGTCAATCGTTTTTGTTGTATAGCGCTTTTATATATAATACACACGATCGTACACGCTTTGTTCGACACTGAACATTGACGACGGTTATATAGCTTAGAAGGGCTTGACTCAGCTATTCTCAATACAGACCTTTAACATAATATCTGCTATACAAATATTCTCCTGGTCGCAAGGTTTCGGTCGTTTTCGCCAATGTGGCAAAAAAAAAAAAAAAAAACGGCGCTTATATTGTGTTTATTGTTTCTATCCAAACACATGGACAATACTGGAATTAAATGCAATGTCCTCCATTCGTAACCGGCTATAAATATTTCACATAGCTTTCCGCGTAAACGATTGAGAAACCTGACGGCGGACAAGCAAGCTGGAGCCGTGATGGATTTCATCGACCGCGACCGCCAAAATTAATCGCCTTTAATGTTTTTTTTTTTCGCCGGACCGACCGCAAAAACCGTGTATTTTCTTCGTCTTGCGGGCGGACGGCATACCTAAGTATACCTAAGACGTCCGTTGGGCTCGTGCAGCAGTGTAGAATGCACGGCGCGCTCAGGTATTCGAGTCGTGCGAAAATCAATCGGAATGCGATGTGAAAGTAACCGACCGAATGTACCGGCGGAGTCGCTCAAGGAAAACCGACTTCGGACGCGCGGCCAAAAGGGAAACACAACAAAACCCGACACGTACCAACGCCGCTTAGGTCTGGCATCTTGTACTTACACGTTGTGTATAATATACATATACCTAAAAAAAAAGAAAAAAGCCCAGGACTACCGTTAGAAACAATAGCACATCGCCGCCGCCGCCGCCGTCGTAGCGATTAGTTCCGGACAGTATAGTATGAGCTCTCGAGTCGCCCGTCCGGATCATCTCCAAGACACGGTATACATAAGTTCCGGAATGTGAGATGTATTTTTTTTTTTTCTTGTCTATCATCGACGGACGTCCGTTTAGTAATCCACTCGAAAGCAGCGGAGCGCGTTGTTTTATTATGTAACGCGTATGCAAATGCAAGTGAAAAAACAATTTTCTTAGAATTAAAAAAAAAATAAAAAAAATACTGATCGAAACTCATCGTGGCGGCCGAGTTGTGTGTGGTGTGTGTGTTGTACAACTAAACAAATTCGAGCGATGTACCTCGTTGCGTCATAACTTGTACACTAAAAATGAATTCAAAAAACTTCAACAGATTCTCAAAAGACGCACACCGATCATCTATACATAATATTATACTACAATAACACAACAGCCCGGCGCACAGGTGTCGAACGACGAATAATGGCGGTCTTGGAACCGACCACGAAAAAATATAACTCACACAACAATAATAGCAATAATAATAATGAATCGAGTCCCTCGGGGTCGGTAGCCTATATAATAATATGATCATAATAATGTAAGCCAACTAATGAGAAGTCGTTGTGCGGGCCAAAGAGAATGGGTTCCTTCCTTCGGGTGATTGTGTATAATATTATTATGTACCGTGTTTACTACTATTACATTTGTATCCTATATATACACGTGAGCGACCGCATACACACACACACAAGTGGGTCAGGCGCGATTGAAGATTCTAGAGAAACCATTACTCGGATGATGCTGTTTCAGGTCAACGCGTGTGTACATATGAGCTATTAACAGCTGTCCGAAAATTAAATTTTTTTTTTTTTTGTTTTACTTTCAAACGGCTTTTGGCCATATTGTCGAATTTATCAGCTGACAAGAACTATCCGAAAAACGGTCAAGTGTAAAGTCGAAAAATACTGCCCCGCGCTCTGTCTTAAGGTTCTCGAAGCACACATTATTTTCTTGAGCCAAACACACACCTTCCATATATCTAACGGCATAGTGCACGTGAGTGAAATTTCGGTTTGACTACACATACAGCCGGCAATGGCAAGCGGGCGTGGATTTGGGTGCAGTTGAACTACTATAAATGCGGTCTAACACCACTTCCTTGTTTTTATTTTTCTATAAAGCACAATGACCGTAATCGATATACTCAACAAACGGGAACAATTTTTTTAGTAGCCTATCCACGCCGGATACAGTCCAGATTTTTTAAATTATATAAAGTATTTGTCCGTACTACACCAGTCAAGCACAGTCTTCTGTGTGACCGCGGGCCCCGTGAAAACCTAAAAAAACAAAACTCGAGATTTGTTTTCTCACCAAGACGGGTTACGCAAGCACCGTCTTCGCGTACACCGAAGATATCCCACTTATGTGCCTACCTAGTTCGGTCGTCATCATTTCCAGAACAACACCCGGAACCTATGTAGGTAACGGCGTGATGCTGATGCACCACTAGGGTTCCTCGACAAACCGGTTCGTGACGGTAGACAAATCAGCATTATTGTACACGAGATAAAAAAAATTAACACAACAAATTACCGGCCAATAGATAATTGCCGTTGGACGAAGGGGACCATAAGTTGACCGCGGGCGATTTTTTTTATTTAATGAAAACAAATTATAATAGTCTTCTAGAGCCAGAAACTCCGGTAATGTACATTACTATACGGACAACTGTTTAGAACAGACGTCACGAGCATTTTTTTTTTTGTGACTTAAACTGGTTTTTAGGTGCGAATTGACGTTATAAATGTTTAATGATAATAATCGTGTGCAAATAGTTCGTTTCCAAGGCCTCGCGAATACCATTATAATTATTATTAAATGTATTTAACTTATTGTTGTTGTATTTCAAATGTCGTAGTTAAGTTTACTCGTTCTGATCATCCATCGATAATAATTCAAGCAAAGTAATCATTAAGAGGACGCCATACCCTTCAAAAATAATCGTAAAAACGTATAGCTCAAAGCAGAATGGGCATAAAAAAAAAAAGTTGATACCGTTAAAAATAGAAGATCTTTAACTGGTTCTCTCGTCGGTTAAATACTAACACTAAAAAAAAGGGGAAAGAATGTCAGAATTAAAATACGAATTGTTAGTGTTGGGTTAATGGTATTAAAAGAAAAGCCAACCTAGATAAACTTATCATTATTTTGAATATGTAAATGAAATGTTTCTACAATTATTACATTTAATCAATAATAGAGAAAATGCGTAACTATGTTTATATGATCAACTGTGTTTAGAACTACAAAAAAAAAAGTAGTCTTAATTACTGAACTAATAGTTCAGTAATCAGTAAATAGATATTAGTAAATAGATCAGTTAAGAGTTAAACTGTGATGTGTAACTACACATCACAGTTTAACCCTTAAATTAAGATTTTGCAAAAAATTGCCTATACCAAACTCCTTAATAAATGGGGGTAAGAAGTCCTCTTAAACACAAGACGATAGTAATAAAACATAACGGCAAAAAAAAAAAAAAATGATGCTAGCAAAGTTGCTTATAACAGAAATTTTGATTGCATTTTTGTTTAACACGACTAAACTACGACTGTTTACTTTTATTTTTTAATAGTATCGTTTCATTTAACACCGTTTATCTGGCAGATGTACATCGTTTAAGAAAATTACACGCCTCGCGAAAATCCTAAATCATCGGGTCTTTAACGTAAGACGCTTGTACAGTAATTTTGCAGACCGCCATTTAAGATACTGCGAAATAATAATAACAACAATAATATTATTATAATTATAGTACCGTAGTCGCGTTCTCTTCTGCGAAATCTCATGCTTATAAAAAAATAAACAT